TCAAAATCATCGACTTAAATGAAGCTATTTAAAATAATATCAAAATTAAAGTTTGATTACTGCCGAGCAAACAATGATTCTTCACTAACTGCTGCCTGAAAAAAGAAACGCTAATTCCAGACGTTCTTACATCTAAAAATAAATTTCGAGACTGCTCAAAAAAGTCATAGAAAAAATTCACAAAATAATCTTGAAAGAACTTCAAAAACACTATAAAATTAGAGGTGTGAGCTCTTTTTATAAATATATTATGCACATCAAATGGTCTAACTATAACACAATGGAATGAGTACAAAACGACCTCAATGTAAGAACGATGGTTAAAGAAAACAAAAGGGAAAAAACCGTGGAGAGACTCACACACCATACAACACAAACATAAAACAATATTTTATTATATATTTTTTATACATTCGTGGGTTATATAACACCCCATAATCCTGAGGTTGGTTATCACAATTTATTAACACCGACACTCTTATTATTAAATCGATTAGGTTTCGTGGTCTGATTGACCAAATAAATTCTTTTCAATTTATTAATCTTTAAGTAAGGTATTGGTCGAGATAAATAACTCAGTGTAACGAGCGGGATTCGAACCCACGACGTTTGGCTCAATACGCCGCTGCTCTACCACTTGAGCTATCGTGACTTCGATCCACTCGGACACCAACTTACCATCCCAACCCCACCTTTCGTAATTTTGCCTCCTTTTTGCCATTTTTCAAATGTGTAATCTATTTGATTCTCGGCGACAAATGAAATAACCACGGAGAGCTTTAGTGAGGTATACTTCATTTTGCTTATTAAATAAATAAGATAAAAAATAAAATTGAAAAATTGCAAAAAGGAGGGAAAATTCAAAAGGTGGTGTTGAGATAGGAAGTTGGCGCCCGGTAGATCGAAGTCACGATAGCTCAAGTGGTTAGAGCAGCGGCGTATTGAGCCGAAGGTCGTGGGTTCGAATCCCGCTCGTGAACTGACTTTTATCTCGACCTTACTTAAAGATTAATTAATGGAAAACTCTTATTATTTTTCAACTAGGTACTTTCCCATAAGGCCATTAACTAAGGTAGGGGTACTAGATAACACCCTATATGGCAACATTTATAATTTTTTTTAAAGTAAATTTTTGGTAGAGTTAACTACCTCAAAGAAATGTTGAAAATAACCTACTTAAATACTTAAAAACAATATTTTTATTTTATTTGTAATTAACATTTTTATAATGTACTAATGTCCGTACACCTGTATATCTAATAGGACGGTTTTGTTCGGAGAAATGGAAACTTTAATTTCAGTTTTTTTTCTAATAATCTCTGCATCGAATTTTGCTTTTGTTTACAGTAAAACATCCCGGAACTGATTAATTCGTTTGCGCGGTTAGGGAACAACGGATTGCGGCTTTCCATTGTTGCCGTAGGCGAAAAACTGAAAATAACGTCGGCCTCAAACACGAATCTGCATTTAGAAAGCAAACAAACGAAACAGGGCTTTTCATTATTCTCCTTCTGTTCTCACGTCATTCGGGTTACGTCTCATTAACACGCTAATGCGGTTCGACGTTACCTAAGCTGATTTTCATCTGGACGGTTAAGCTACGACTATAAATGTTATTTATTTATGCTTTCGATCAATTGCGACTTGATGTGTTTATTGAGTAAAACGATAATTTAGCCAAGAAACAAGATAATTTAATAAGAAGTGTTTTGAATGTATCTATTCGTGGCAAATAACTTATTAAAGACCTTTTAACGAAACAAAGACTTCCGATTGACATTACTACCCATGTAGGACAACCGCTTCTTCCACCACTGACAAAGGCTTTTGACATCCTTTGGGACAGTGAAACAGGTCCTTGGTTCAATGGAGTTTTCTCTTCTAGATTTTACGCTGGCGTTTTACCGTTGCTTGAACCAGTTGAAAAATTCTGACCGTTTTTCTCTTTTTGATCGGGTGCTTTCATAAACTTATTTATTTACTTGGCACATTAACACTTCGGTTAAATATGCGTATGTTGTAGCATAACTTTTTTAAGCATGCATTTATGTCCCAACACTGACTATATTGAAATGCCAAAACCCCTCTGACCGGCCAAGATGAAGGAGACCAAAATGATTGGCAACGACCAAATTACAGGTTCATCACTCTGCAGACCATGGAAAAAATTGACAATAATCATTTCTATATGTTTAATTTTCAGTTCTATTTGCTTCGGAAGGCAGGGAACTTAATATAACCCACGAATATATAATAACATTCATTGTTTTATGTTTTTGTGTATGGTGTAGGTTTCTCCACTTTCTTCCTTTTCGTTTTCTTTAACCATCGTTCTTCCTTTGAGGTCGTTTTGTTCCCATTCCATTAGTGTATAGTTAGACCTTTTAAGTGCATAATATATACATAAAAAGAGCTCGCATCTCTAAATTTATAGTGTTTTTGAAGTTCTTCTTTCAAGATTCTTTTGTGAATTTTTTCCATGGCATTTTTTGAGCAGTCTCGAAATTTAATTTTAGATGTAATGACGTCATAAAGAATGAAGAATCTTTGTTTGCTCGGCAGTTATTAAACTTAATATTTTAAATAGCTTAATAGTATCATTTAGGTCGATGATTTTGACAAAATCTATCGTTCTCTGATTGACGGATGTAAATTTGATGTCTCCACTAGACCAATCCATTTTTTTATGGTCATCTGGAGCCCAGGAATAGTTCTTTGATTTTTGTTTGGGTGTGTGGTGTGTGTCTCTCCAGTGTACAAGATTAGTGTCATTTCCTAGCTAGATGAGGAAGTTATGTTAAATCTATTAACGCCCCGTGATTCCTAGCCAAAATTAAATTGGGGTTTCTATTTTTTTTTTGTTAATGTTCATCGTTTTCGAAATATTGGAGGTGGACGTTAGAAGTTGATACACCTTGTACAGCAGAATGTTAAACATTAAATCATATGATTATTCGGAGATTGTGAGATACGGTCTGGTGTGACGTAGGTTTTAGAAAAACCTTTTCTTTATCGTGCCAACGTTTCGATCTTTATTGAGATCATCTTCAGGGCCAGGGATTTATAAACGTTGTTTAAATTTTACGAATACATGCAGGAGGTGAAAAAATGAATTTATACAATGCCTGAAGTTTTAGATTAAAAAAAATGAATTTATACAATGCTAAAAAATTTTAGATAAAAAAATTAATTTATACGACGCTAGAAAATTTTAGATTCAAAAAAATTCTATTGGGTTGTCCGGAAAATAATGCAGGATTTTAAGTTTTCATTAAAAAAAATCTATATAAAATATTCTGTTTACGTTTACAGGATTACTCATTTGTATGAATGTCAACACTTATTAATCCTCTTCCAAATGATATTGTTTGTTTACCTCTGTAGCATTCCGCTACTTGGAAATAATTCAGTCATCCTTATAATGTCAAAGCGAGAATTTCGTACGATTTTCTTTTACGAGTTTAAACTCGGCCGAAGCGGAGCCCAAACGGCTAGAAACATTAACCAAGTCTGGGGCGAGGGTTGTGTTAATGAGTGCACTGTGCAAAGGTGGTTTAAAAAATTTCGGGAGGGAGATTTCAGCCTTGAAGATGAAGAAGGTCGTGGAAGGCCTTCCTCTCTTAATGATGATGTTCTGCGATCAGTGGTGGAAGAAAACCCCAAAACAACTGTTCGAGAACTTGCAGAGCAACTCAAAGTCAGTAAAACGACCGTCGCTGACCACCTCAAGGCGATTGGAAAAGTGAAAAAACTCGAAAATTGGGTTCCACACTCATTAAACGATCGCCAAAAAAATCAGCGCTTTGATGTTTGTGCATCACTTCTTTGTCGAAACAAAAATGACCCATTTCTGGCCAGAATTGTTACATGTGGCGAAAAGTGGATTTTCTACGATAACACTAGACGTTCTGGACAGTGGCTCGACAAAGGAGAAGCTCCAATACATTTTCCAAAGCCCCCAACTCATCAAAAAAAGGTAATGGTTACGGTATGGTGGGCTTCATTTGGTTTAATACACTACAGCTTCTTAAATCCTGGCGAAACCATCAATGCTGAATCATACTGTAACCAAATTAATACCATGCATCAGAAATTGGCAGTAATGAAGCCCTCTTTGGTCAATCGGAAAGGGCCCATTTTGTTGCATGACAACGCTCGACCACATGTGTCACGTGTAACGTCACAAAAATTATTGGAGCTTGGCTATGAAACTTTGCCTCACCCACCCTACTCTCCGGACCTCTCGCCTACTGACTACCATTTTTTTAGACACCTGGACCACTACTTACAACACATAATATTCAAAAATCAAACGGAACTGGAAAATGCATTTATTGACTTTATCAATTCTAAAAATTCTGAATTCTACTCAGACGGAATTAATAAGTTACCAACACGTTGGGAGAAATGTATTGAGAGTATGGGAAATTATTTTGATTAAAGAACATTGCTTTAAAGTAACTAGTTTCTTTTTTTTTGTTTAATACCAAAATCCTGCATTATTTTCCGGACAACCCAATAGCATAATTTTTTTAACATCATGTAAATTCATTTTTTTAATCTAAATTTCTTTAACATTGTATAATACCATACATGTATTTGTAAAATTTAAACAATGTTTATAAATCCCAGGACCTGAAGAAGTTCTCAATAAAGACTGAAACGTTGGCACGATAAGGAAAATGTTTTTGTAAAACCTACGTCAAACCAGACTCGCATCTCACTATCTCCGAATAATCATTGAGTAACGTCCACTAAACACCACACAATAAATCATATTTTGACAAAAATTTGAGGTCCCTATGTCTGTTAAGACAAAAACAGTATATGTTAGGGGAAATTTCGTTGTGAAGCACAGAAGCAGGCTCTGGCTTTTTCCCCTTATTTGATTTCGTGATCGACGTTCACGATAAATTTAGTACCTACTACGCTTTCACCTATTTATTCTGTAGTATTCTGAACTAAATCACAGCAGTCGCTTCACATAAACAGAAACTTACCGTTGTTGAAGTATTCGTGTTGAAGCAACGCCTCGTGAAGCTGGGTGGGCTGCTGGAATCCGTAAGCCGGGAGCCAGTGGCTGGTTCCAGCTTCCAGCTTCTCAGACCACTCCGTAAATGCCATTTCTTCCTGCGGCATTTCCATTTCCATCTGGGAAGAGAATCAAACTGTTAGAAATTCTGATATTTCATCACAATTAATATTCAAAATTGCTTATTTCAATTAATTAACATTTTTATGTAAGGTTTTGGTTAAAATGAAAAAGTTAGTGTCACGAGCGGGATTCGAACCCACGACCTTTGGCTAATACGTCGCTGCTCTACCACTTGAGCTATCGTGACTTCGATCTACTCAGACGCCAACTCCCGCTCGTCGCACTGACTTTTTCATTTCAACCAAAACCTTACATAAAAATGTTAATTATTGAAAGACGTAATTTGGTCAATCAGACCGCTAAATATTATGGATTCAAAGTTGCTTTGTTTTTTATTACGGGGGTTATGAGACGACCATTTTCGGAAATAAAAAACGTGTTAATCAGGAGACACAAAGGAAATGAAATAAAAATAAACAATTCCTTTCTTGAAGAAGTACAAATAACAGCCCTGAAGCGGAAATTCTGCCTTTTACTTCTTCTTTGTGTATTAACACAGGTGTGAGTAGAATGCAGGAATGAAACAATCAAGCGGGCAGAACGCTTTCGTAATAATACAATTAAATAATAATTTCGAATTTTCCCAACGCCTTTATAGACAAGGCGTGAGATAAAAACACGTTCCATAAAAAATACAAAAAATAATAAGCTCCCTTCCAAGAGCTTATAACGTTTCACAAATATTTCCGACCTACAACGTCATTATGCAACGAATGTAATTGAAAGCCAACAAGGAAAAACAATGCAGTTCATAAATTCTTAGCAAAAATGAGTCGACGAAAAATTACACACTCGGGTAAAGGAGTGCCAGATCCTTCTCCCACTTGACCAAGGGCACGTTACTGACGCAGATATCTTTTCAGGTTTTGATAGATATCTTTACTAACAGTTTTGTGAAGTCGTTCTGCAAGTTGAGCATTTACCAGCGATTTCATATTTCTATTATTCGGGTATCATGTGAGTGAATGTCTGTGTATCATGTCTCTGCCTCCGTATTTGATCGATTTCAATTGTAAGCACAAATGCGATTGTATGTTCAATAAATAATATATTGACTAAAAAGAAAAACAACTACATCTACACATAGAAAGAAATTATTAAACTAAACTTAACATTGAGTGTCAGTGATACAACTTCAGTGATAAAAGAACTATTATGTAAACTCACGATAACCTTAAGAATCGTTAAACAACCGCAAGACAGTTCAGTAGCTCAACGCTATTTTTAAATTAATTACTTTCACGAACTGGACAAACTATAAATTTTTTATTTTAATTTTTAATAGTCAAATGAGTGACATTACTTTATTGTTCTTATTTCTTATAGTAAAGATTGAAGTGATTGTTTAAACTGCTGTTAACTTTATAGCTGTGCATAACTGAATGTATTATTTTATTTAATAAATATAGTTCATGCATTCTTTCAATAATAGACGAAACAGATTGTTAATAATTTTTGTAGTTCATATAATGCAAACACCATTTTCTTCGTAACCAATATAGCAATATTTTCAATAACGAGGATTATCTCAAGGAGTTTGCTTCGTGTGAAGGGGATCCCCCGCAAAGATCGTTATAACAAATACTTAGGGTTGCCACTCTGCTGTACAACAAGCTCATCGCATAATCGACGTTATTTCCACATCCCTTGAGCTAAAACAGTATTGCCCGGGTGTGTTCTTGGATATACACCAGGCCTTTGACCAGGTATGGCACTCTGGACTGCTGTGGAAACTCAAGAACATCCTACCAGCAACCTTATCCTAAAATCCTATCTTAAAGATCGTTACTTCCAAGTATCCCACAGAAATTATTGTCTCCTATCCATCCTCTTCTAGCAGGTGTCCTACAGGACAGCGTGCTCGCTCCTTTCCTTTTTTCTATTTATACCTTCGACCTACCTACTCAACTTAAAACTATTACCTTCACCTTTGCCAATGATACCACGATCCTTTCTCCTGATAATGATCCTGTCACAGCTTCCCATAATATTCAAAATAACGTAAACATCCTTGAATGGAAAATCCAAACCGACGAAACCAAATCAACAAACATAATATTTACCCTAAACGCTCCCACCAGGATACCTCAATAACGTTCTCATCCCAATTGCGAACCATGTAGGATACCTCGGACTCTACCTGGACAAACGACTGGCGTGGAACCCCCATACACGACTTAAGCGCACAGACTGTAACATACGATTTTTCATGCTTAAACGACTACTCGACAGACGATCAAAACACTCACTAATAAACAAAAGAAAACTTTACATTGCCCTCCTGGCCCCCATTGGACATACGGGCTTGAACTTTACGGGACTGCTAAGCGTTCAAACCTCAATCGAATCCAATCCCTTCAATCTAAAATCCTCAAAACAATAGTCAACGCCCCTTTCTATGTATCCAATCACATCATCCATACCGACCTAAATGTCCCTCTTTTTACCGAGCTAGCCCAATCCCTCTACGAAACGTTCCTTTCCAAACCACCTCATCATCCGAACCCTTTTGTCAAAAACCTGTCATCCACTTAATAATCCAAACAGCAGACTGAAGCGCCGGTGGCCCCGCGACGACCTTAACACTTGACATCGGTCTCCTAGGACGGAGTTCATCTCGCTTATCGTATTGATGTACGTTCATGCTACTGTTATTATTCTTTATATGTAAATATTATATGTTTTACTGGTTTTGTCTAACAATGCAGTTGTAAAAAACAAATAAAATTTTTTTAAAAACTTAGGGTTTCAATAATCAGTTCTGAGATGAAAAAGTTAGTTAGAGCGGGATTCGAACCCACGCTTAGCAGCGGCGTATTGAGCCTAAGGTCGTAGGTTCCAATCCCGTTCTAACTAACTTTTTCATCTCAGACCTTTTTCAGACCTTAGATAAAAAGAATAATTAATTGAAATTATTTTCTATATACGTACATGCCATTAATATCAAAACTGTACCTCTAATCTAATTAAGGAGCAACGGAGCCCTTTCAGACTCATTCACGTGAAAGCAATATACGGAAGAGCATTGCTAGAAAATTGGAACACGGTCTGCAAAACCTATCTGCTGTGCCACAATTCTCATCATATCGAGTGGCATTGCTACTCCGCTCTCTTTACGGATCCCAATGTCGTAATTGAAGAAATGTTATATTTTGTCCATTATAACAATTCTTAATAAATCCAACATATTTGAAGCGTGGTATATATAATAATAATAATAATAATAATGATAATAATAATAAATCTTTATTTACAGGAATGTACAATACTTATAAATTTACAACAAAAAATAATATTTTGGTACATCCCTGCCTGCTGTCAAAAAGCAAAGATTGTACATGTCAGCAGGAGTTTTTGGAGATCATCAGAGAAATAAACAGAATATATCTTTAAAAAAGCATAATGACAAACAAAACAAATAAACAAACATAATACAGAATAAACGTGTAGTATGAAAAAAATAAATCTTGGCTTTAAAATATGTTAACTAAATTTAAAATTTTTGAAATTATAAATTTTTTGCCTTCTTTGTAGTTTAAAAAAAAAAATAATGCAAAATTATAATCCATTTCATTCATGTCACGATAGCTCACATGGTAGAGCAGTGGCGTATTTAGCCGAAGGTCGTGGGTTCGAATCCCGCTCGTGACACTGACTTTTTTATCTTAACCAAGACCTTACGTAAAAAGAATAATTAATTGAAAAATTATAATATTGCGGTGTCTTTACAAATGTGAGTTAGCCAATGAATTGTGTCTTATGTTCTATTCACTGATGTACCTAATTACAAGATTATTTTTATATGTATGTACAAACATGAACATTTAAGAAAGGATATTGCACTTAAGAGTTCGATTGTCATAAAGTTGCGAAAATTCTAAATTTTAAAAACAGCTTTCTCAGACGGGAAACCAAAGAATCAATATGCAAAAGTCTAACAATGTAAGCAAAAGGGATAGGCAAGCAAGAACCCTCAACATTAACAACACAAGTTAAAAGCAAATTTTACATTATTAGTATTTATTTTCTTTTTTAATGAAAAGTTTAATACATTACATTTTTTGTGTTTAAAAGTAGAAGGTTTGAGTTTAAACAAAAATTTATAAATTTTATATCATTATTTATAGTCTATTAGGTTTCGTGGTCCGATTGACCAAATAAATTATTTTCAATTAATTAATCTTTAAGTAAGGTATTGATTGAGATAAAAAAGTCAGTGCCACGAGCAGGATTTGAACTCACGACTTTCGGCTAAATATGCCTCTGCTCTACCACTTGAGCTATCGTGACTTCGATCCACTCGGACACCACCTTCCCATCCCAACCCCACCTTTTAAATTTTCCCTCTTTTTTGCCATTTTTCAAATGTTGTGTAATCTATTTGATTCTCGGCGAGAAATGAAATGGCCACGGAGAGCTTTAGTGAAGTATACTTCATTTTGCGTATTACATCTATTAGGTTTCGTGGTCCGATTGACCAAATAAATTCTTTTCAATTCATAAATCTTTAAGGTCTTGGTTGAGATAAAAAAGTCAGTGTCACGATGAAGTCACGATAGCTCAATTGGTAGAGCAGCGGCGTATTTAGCTGAAGGTCGTGGGTTCGAATCCCGCTCGTGACACTGAGTTTTTATCTCAACCAAAACCTTAATTAAAGATTAATTAATTGAAAAGAATTTATAGCCTCAGTTAAAATAATTAAATTATCACCTGAGAAAGTGATACAAGTATCATCTGCATAACTAAATATTTTTACAGAGATTTTAATTTTCAAAAATCATTAATATTTAAAAGAAATAAAATTGGGCCTAAGACTGTACCTTATGGTACTCCCGATTCAACGCGTAAAAGAACTATAAACCGCTCCAACCTTTCTGACTTGAGTTCTGAATATATATTGTAGATATCGTACTGAACCTAACAGTATTAGAGGTTAGTGGGCCATTACTCTCGAATAACTGTACTCCAGTAATAAGTGGAAAGGATGCCAAATTTC